CCCTTATAAAAGCATTAAGGGCTTTGTCCCTTTGAACGGCAAGAAAAGCATCGGTTATCTCTGTAGAATAATTCATGCTCTTAATTTTATTCATTATGAGCGAGACATGATTATTGATCTTAAGGTAGAAATCCTGTCCAGTTTTTGGCTTCCCTGGGTCATTTGAGCTAGTTCGTACTCAAGCGTACCAACATCTCGTTTATCGGCAAAGTGTAATGCCAATACCCGTTTGACCTCTGCCCAATCGTCTTCTCGCACGTTATAGGCATTAAGTGCCATGTCAGCGTTGCCCCTAATTTTTTGCCTAATCTGAATAAGGACTGACCTATATAGGGGTTTCTCCCGTACGACCTCGAAATCGTTAATAATGGATTGAGCCCTATTAATCCAAGAGTTGTATTTCACAAGCTCCCTTACGCAATCCGGTACGGACGAAGACTCCTTGAGTTCGTACTCCGTACGCGGACGCATTAATGGTACCGGTATCTCTGGTACCGGGTTGCGTCGCTCGAAGTCAGTTTCTAAAACGTTCACCCTATTTCCTATTTTCCTAACCTCTTCCTTCATGCTCACCATCTGATTGGTTAAGGCCGAAATGGTAGCATCAAGGCGGTTTAAAACTTCTTTCATTTCCTCCATTTTTATAGTTAAATTTTTCTCAGGTTTTTTTCTTTATTTAATTTTGGGTCGAAGCAGGGAATTTAGCAACAGTTTTCCGCGTTTTTGTTAATTAATTTCTATTTTATTTGTATTTTTTTATTAGTATTAACAGACGTGCGTTTAAAGAATTAGAAAGAATTAGTATGTGATTTTCTTTTTGTTCGGAAAGAAAAAACAAAATTGTAATTTTAGTTTGAGCGTTGTGCGATTTTTTAATAAAATTCGTGTTTTTTTGGTACTTTATTTTTGTATTTCTGTGTAATTGTGTTTATCGGCGCGGTGGTCCGTATTTATCCGTTTTGGCATTGTGCCTACTAAGGTAGGCATTCCACATCCGTTAGCCTTTCCAAAAAAAAAATTTTTTTTTTTTTATTTCAAAATTGGTTTATAATTTTTGCCGCTCGCAAATTAATTGCCGCAGCGGTTGTCTGTGTTTATTTAATTAAAATTGCAATTTTTACACTCGCGAATAAGCTACCCAATGGTGTGGACTTATCGCCGCAGTGGATTATCGCTTCTTTTGTTTTATATTACTTAGTGTTTTGTGCCCGCGAATATGCCGCGTCACAGGGTACGTGGACAGATCGCCGCGGCAGGTACTAAGTTTATTCACAAATTTTTTTGCGCCCGTGGGGAATGCCAGCTCTAAACGGCAGCATCCTCACCGCAGCGGGTAAATGTGATTCAATTCCAATTATATTTTTTACACGAACACGCACAACGCTTTCTTTTTTTTTAGCTTTTATTTATTCACATATTTTTCACTTTATTTGTTACTTTTTTCTTTCTCGTTTTTTTTTTTTTTTTGTTTTTTGGGGGTCCTTGGGTCCCACTTTCGAAAGAAAGTGGAATCTGTTCGGGCGCCAGTTATGGCCAGACATAGCCAGAGGGGGGAGTATTCCCCCGGATATTACCTAGTTAATGATATCTGCATCCTCGTGTTTCCAATTAAGGGTCCCTTCGTCCTTCACAGCTCGCAAATTATTGTCTACGATGCTACGTTAGAAATAAAACAGTAATCGTTTCTACACGTTACAATGGTTTTATTAAAAATGATAAAGGTGTGCTGGCTTTGGGGGTACAAATCGAAGTAAATCTAAAACATAAGTTTTGCTGGCTTGTTGGCTGCATAACGCTGGCAGAGCGGTTGCAGCTGTCCGATGCTGACAGCAGCGGTTTTGGGGGTTTTGGGCCAAAGTGTTGCTATGCTCCAGGTGCTGGGGTTGCATTTCCGTCCGTGTGCAGGGGTAGGGGAAGCTATGGCTGAGACAGCTAGCGATCGGTTAGTGCTCTTCCATTGTCGCGCTGCTGATAGCAGCGGTTCTGGATATTTGGGCCAACGAGCTGCTAACCTCCAGGTGCTAGCTCTGCATTTTGGGTTGGCCGCAGCGATGGGAAGGGGTAGCGGCAGGTATTGCTGAGGCAGCTAGCGGGCGGTCAGTGCTCTTCCATTCTCACGCTACTGCCGTTGTAATTCTGCCGGTGCAATTCTGCCGTTGACGTTCTGTCGCTGCGCTGTCGCTCTGACGCCGCTGACGTTTGGTGTTTGCACTACCGCTGCTGTGTCTCTGCTGGTCGTCGGGTTGGCTGAGTGGGGTGATGAGGGAAGTCGCGGTGTCTGGTATCCGGGTCGAGAGGCGGTGAATGGAAGGGGGCGTTTGGCCGGTGTTAACTAACCATTGTGTAAATCTGTAACGGGTATCTTATAGTCGCGGCACTCGACTATGGCGGTTTTTCTTGTTTTACTTTGGAAGAAAGCGACATCTGCATTCCATTATCTATTAAACCTTTTGGTAATTGTTTCGGATCTTCGAATTGGTGTAGTGCTGGTACTTCACCAGCACATTTAATTCCTAGGAGTTACAAGCAATATAAAAATTCATGGTTAAAATATAGATCATTTTACTTTTCGTCTGCTTCCCTCGAGTATCAAAAATGAAAAGAAAGATATTTGCATCCGGGCTTGCAGCTTAACAGAGATTTAACATCAAAGGCTTCTTTTGCTTCGGCGTTGCCTGATGCCACGGGAGCAGTTCACTATCTATGGCAACAGTATTGTTATAATTGAAGCAAATAATAATATCCACCCCGAAGAAGAGTAGGTTTTCTATACTGACCAAACCAAATTCTCCCGATATATCCTTAAACTAAATTCATTGATCATCATTCACAGATGTCTTTTAGTAACGAGACAAAGCCTTTCGTACTTTTTGCAATATCTTTTTCGTTTTCGTACAATTTGTTTTACCTTTTTTTATACGCTACTATTTATTTATTCAATCTCCTTTGGAGACTACGAATAAGTTAACAAATTTCAAGTCTATAACCTAACTATCTAATTGAGAGTTTTAATTTAACCGGCTGGGGGTCGGTTGTTGCATTGTAGTCAAGTTTTGATGAGATCATTGTTAGCTTCCGAGTGAAATTGTTCGGATGTACGTTGTGTTTAGGTGGCTTTAAATTCCGAGATCTCTGGTTGTTATTGGCTAGAACATCTAATGGTGCCCCTTTGATAGTTCAAAGAATTTTTGCTTGTGCCCACATGGATAATGTCAACGTTCCTCCTCCTTGCGTTTCGCCACAGCTGAGACCCGTATGTTCATATTGGCTTAGGCAGGTTCTCACCTTGTGAAAAAAATCGTTCTTTTTTGCCTTATCGTGTAGATCAATGTTTTCAAAATGTGTTCAGATCAAAATCTATAGCACTGTCGAACACCGTCCGAGCGAAGGCAAAACTTCAAACACTTTTTCTCAGAACCACGTTTTCGGACCTGATTGGTATAATGGACCAACCGTCACCAAATTTTCATTAAAATTATCCTTTGGGTTTATTCTAATAAAAAATATTACAAACTTTTTATTATAAAAAATAATTAGTGAAGAAAAAAATGGATTTCGAAATTTTGATTTTTTAATGATCGTTTGTTTTTAATGTTAAATTTAATCGTTTTCTGAAAACAAATTTATTGAAAGGTGCACTTTTTCTGGTCCACAAGGTGATAGCCTGCCTTAAGGATACTGATAGATAGTATAGCAGGAACTTGTAGTCTAAGCGTGGGAGACCGCGAATTCAGAATCCAGTGAACTTTAGTGTTAGTTTGAGTTCTTAACATTCGATATGCCTTCGCCTTGTTAGACGCCTATACAGGGAGACACTTAGATAAGCTATTTCACTAACTTGGAGAATTTTAGTGTTTTTCAAGGTTATCGGAGGGCATGATTATCTGTTCAGAGTAAACGTTATGTGTTTGCACTGTTGTTCGTTAATTTTAACACACAAGTCAGATAGCAACCTCTCGACTAATACTAAGTGATCCGCGAGTTGCTCTGTTGCTCGATTCGGGACTTTCGCGCGGCTCAGGATGGCTGTGTTGTCGGCGAACGTGGATGTAGTTAGACATTCGTATAGAGTACGTAGAGTGTGGGACCAAGTGCACTACCTTGAATAACTCCAGCTTCTATGGTGTGGTCCTCCGATGTTGTTGTTGTAAATCTAATGTTTTTTTATGTATAGGGCTCTAGTTATTTATGAGTGTACTTTTGATCACGGTTTTGATTTAATGCAAGAGGCCATCTACGTGAACGAATTTCTCACTGCACTATTCTTGATTTTCGGGGGCGATGCGTATTTCAGCTGATAACAGGTTAATCCGATCGATTGTGTCTTTCTCGGAAGCCGAATCAATGATAATACTTTGAGCTCTGATGTAAGGTATTATGCGAAATCAAACACAATTATCTAAGAGCTTTGAGAGATACATTAGCAAACTTAGTTTTAGCAATATTGGTGGACGAAAAGATTATTGGGTCCGTCTCTGGTGCAGTGTTTGTTTGCGGTAGAGCGAACGAATTTATTGCAGGGGCGATTGATTCGCACGGGGAGTTAGATTTGTTTCAGCTTTTGAAATCCAAAAAAGTTAAAATCTCGGGAACTATAAGAGTCTTGTTAGGTATTCTCATTCTAGAGATGCCACTGCAGCACTCGGTCACTCTAACGCTCAGAAACTGCTGAAAACTGCGGAGTCCAAATATTACAATTTAGGTTTTCGTTTGAGTTTGTATACAATTTTTAGTCAATATCTATCGATTTATTAAAAATTTTATTTCTTAGAGTAATTTTTGCATAAAAACAAAAACAATAAAAATAAATATCAATTTAAAACTACAGCTTTTTTGTGAAAATATTTTGATGTTTCATAAAGAAAATATAAAACTTTTTTGAAAGCTGGGGCTTAGAATTCTGTTTGACGTAATTTATGAACACTACTGAACTCTTCGAAATAAACATTTAATTTTAACAATAAATTTCTCAAAGTTTATTTATATTTGTATCGTTTCAGAACTCAATAAGAATCCAGTGGAAGGATTCTCAGCTGGTTTAATTGATGAAAACGATATTTTCCGCTGGGAAGTCTTAATAATAGGACCACCAGATACGCTGTAGTACGTAATTTAAATTAAATTATTAAGTTATTATTAGAAAATATAATTTTGAAGATATTTAAATCCTCAAATAGTAGATGCAACACTTTATAATCGTTATTCGCAGAATAAGTGGGTATATATATTCCAACTATTTAATCATTGGGTCATATAAACTATCGTTGTATCGTTGGTCCACAATTAAAGAAGTAATTAAGAGATTAATGTTGAAATATGAACTAGATGGCGCTTTTAAAATTATGCGTAGTCATATCTTATTACAGAGCAAGGATGCTTAACGTCTATGCTCTGAGTGCTCATTTCTTTTTGTAAATGCTCGGACCACACGGGCGCTCGCCCACAAGCTTTACAGTAACAATTTTTTGTTTTACTTTCTCCGCCTCATTCCGTCTCCAAACGCAATATATTTTGTTCTTGTTTCGTCTAGGAACATCTTCGAACACTTGCACTGGAATTCATTCATTCATTATGTTTGCAATTTAGAGTATATTATGGGTCAGTAAGATGAGTGATGATTTTTTGTTCTCTCAGTGCACAGCTGGAACCCAATACATAAACGTTATGTGTTTATCGGAATATCAATCGGAATATTGTTCCTATGCTTCCATAGGATGGCCAAAAATCCCAGTGGAATCCACAAAATAGTTCGTTTCTTCCATGAGAAATCATCAAAGCTGTCCTGAACCAGAAAATATGACATACAAAATATTAGCTGTTAAATTACAAATCATAAGTTAAGTAGAATCTTCTGCAAAAAATAAGATGCGGCATGAAAATTTTCTGAATTTTTTGTTTTTATTACAAAAGTTTTTTGTTTTTATGATTTTGAAAATCGTTTAAGTATAATAAGCATGTTAAAATTCCCTGTTAAAAAACTGCGTTTAAATTTTTGAAAGATTTTCTTTGGTTTAGCAGGAATAACGACTCAAACTTTTTTTTGGTAGCTGCACGAAATAAGCTGCGATCCACTGTATCTTAAAATTGCGTCACTCAGCTAAAGTAATCGTTTATTTATGGATTTTACAAAATAAGATTCACCAACTTAAAAACATAATCGTAAAAATTGTGGTATCTTATCAGGAACTAAAGTGTTAATAATTGGGGATTAATTAGGCTGGTTTTTCACATATGGTAAAGTCAAGTAAACGAAAAGTTTAACTAAACAAAAAACTTAAATCCACCAGGCGCGTAAACGAATAAATCAGAAGATTTTTCGGACTCGCGAGCAAGCAACATAGAGCTGCCATTGTAAGAAGCATTGATTCTCCAAATTTAGTCCGCACTTTTGCAATGATTGCCCTTGTGCTTGGTTGAAAGTCATTCCGAAGGCACCGGGAACTGCCAACGTTTGAATTCGAATGCCTTATCCGCCGCAATTCCAGACAGTGTAATATTATTTTGTGATCGTACGATGGCCAAAATGAGCGATAGAAGAAAAGTATTGCCAGTACCACCGGGGGCATTTATGAAAAACAGTCCAACCCTCCTTTCTGTGATTGCACGCATAATTCTGACAAACGCAGTGCGTTATTCTAAAACCAACTGCGGAAGATTTATTTGAACAGATGCCCTGAGCTCGACAGAATCAAAGTTTGTTTCTTGTTGCAACTCACAATCGAGCAGGTCACTTGCTGGTCGGTTTAGAGCAGGCATATCCAGTTGCCCAGTGTCTTTTTAGCGATTGTGAATCATATGTCATCAACTAAAAGCCTCGTTATACACATTTGGTATGAATAGATGACATAAATTTCACAATTTACATAAATTCTTACGTGAATTACATAAAAAAACACTTCAAAAAAATAAACATTTCAAATTTAACTGTTTAAAAAAAGCCATCCAGTTTCATTCCTACAGCGTTGCCACATACTCTACTCCCTAAGCCGTTAAGAGCTGAGTCCACTTCGGGTTTTATGTTTTACTTTTAATTAAACTGTAACTAGTTCTCTTAGCTCTTCTTTGTCCAAATATCGAGGAAGCTCATTCACACAACTGCACTTTTTTCGGCTGTTCCAATTGCTTCTTCGATTTAGCTCTCATGTTATATAATTGGGGTATTATATATGTATATGCTTAACATAGTCTTCTAGGTTTTTTTCAACCCAACTAAACGAAAAACATTAAATATCTATTGAAGTACTTTGGGACATATATACAATGTTTCTTGTAAAATATAATACCGAAAAACCCAAATTTAAAATGAAATCCACCCGAAATACGTTTTTCAATGATTTGTATAATCATAAAAAATAACCCTTTTTGGACCAACCTGTGGCACCATTAAAAAAACCAAAAAAACATTAGCTAAAATTTAGTCACAGATACTAATAAAACAAGAAGAAACTCTATAGTCGAGTGCCGTGACTATAAGATACCCGTTACTGTTTTACACAATTGTAAAATATTCATTTAAATATAAATATTTGAATTTCCACTAGAATTCACAAAGCATGTCAGAGAAAGCTTGTTGAACAACTAATAGTAAAGTCACTGCCCATGCCACGTGAGGCCTTATTATCTACATTTCTTCATAAATAGCGAAATAATGTTTCGATTTTGGTATATTGGTCAAACGAAGACAACCATTAAAATATTATGGACGTCACATTTTCCGCGGTTAGAGTGGGCGTGGCAAGATTAATCTACCTGCTTAATCTTAACTCTGTATCTCTTATAGTTCCTGAGATTTCAGCGTTCATACGGACATATAGACGGACAAACGAACGGCTTAATCGAATTCGCTATTGATACTGATAAAAAAATATATATAATTAAATGAACATTGAACACATTGAACATTCGTAAGTTTAAAAAAATAATTTGATTTTTATTAAACCGAATTATTACAAGATTCTTTGATGAAGAACACCGACTCGAACAATTTCGTGTCTTGAACTGAACTTCACTGGATATTGAGTTTTACAGTAATGCACTTAGTTTATAAACTTCTCTTAATTATGTATTGATTATAATTATGCTTGAACGCGTACCGAGGATAACTATTCTCGAGCGTTAACTGTCTTAAACTGATTTTATCTTAAGTCTTAATTTATTATGAAGCCTTGGTTTTGGGCTTTTACAATTATTATGTTCTCTGAGAGAACTTTCTTATATCCAAGCTTTATTCTCTTGTATTCAAGTTTAATACTCTTGAATGCAAGATTTCTCTTTTCAGTTGTCCGTAACAGGACTCCTACTTTAACCTTGATCGTCTATGGAAAATTTAAGTGTTAATGTTTAGTCTGGAGTCTGAGTAATAAGACTCTCTTGTTTTTCAGTCGCGGTGTGGGAAAGAATTTGGGTCTGCGATCTGTCTGTGTTTAGATAAAAGGTTTGGGAAAGTTTATCTTTTAATTTTCCATATTCGATTAAGTTTACATAGAAAGGTATCGATCTTACTTATGACTAAGTGGAGGTGACGAGGTTATTATGGATATGTCACTATATATTTTATAGGGTCGGAAAAGCTTCCTTCTACATGTTACATACTTTTCAACAAATCTAATATACCCTTTTACTCTACGAGTAACGGATATAAAAACTACATAAATACAAATCAATCTGTAACAAGTAGCTTCATGAATATAGCCCCTTAACAAATTACAAACCTTTTAAGATATTCCGAGTTGTCATCAAGCCATCTCTGTGCGATTGACTTATGATCTGTATTCCTTAACTCATCTGCCATAAACGGTAATAAGTTTTCCAGTCTTATAGTAATTTATTATTATTTTTAGGAACCTCCCCCTTCGGTGTCCAACCGCGATATGACAAATATTTTAGAATTTATATAAATTCTTACGTAAATCACACCATCACATCATAAAAAAACCTTAAAAAAAATAAACAAAATTATAAATTTAACTGCGGGCTACATTTCTAAAGAGTTGCCTCAACTGTTGGGAGCTAGAGCTGCCAACTATAACTGATCAGAACTGCCTACTTTACTAAATTTTCCAAATTTTTCAATAAATTTTCCTAGTTTTAGTTTTGACAAATTTTCCTCTTTTATTGTTTCTCAACACGCCCGAAGCCCCCTTGAGCCCAAATTGGCTGAATGCTATTGAAACCATTATAATTGAGCGACTAAAAAAAGTTTATAGTGCTGTACGTGGACGACCAAAAGTTGCTGAGTCCTCTAAAATGACGAAACATAATCGGATAGCGCTGCTCGAAAAACGTGATGAGTTTCTGTGTTGCGCTCAGCCAATTTTTTTAATTGACACTGGAATAACGGAACACCAATACTTGGTTATTCGTGAATTCGTAATTGTAAATGAGCATTGCCAAGCTATGAAAAAATTCTCTGATTTAAAACTTCAAGTTATCCAAAGGACATAACAGTGGATGAAACATATGCAGAAGTGGACAACATTTTACTTGTAAGATCTTCGTTAAATTTTTGCATTTAAATTTTAATGCATCTACACATTACTTTTAATAATGAAAATGAATGGTTTATTCTTATACACTACTGCAAGAACTAAAGAACCTCATTTGTTTCTATTTCGTAAATCTTTATTTATGGCCGCGGCTTCTCACAAGTCCAACCACTGTGGGTGAAGGGTTCAATGAAATAATAGATCCAATGTATAATGCACTTGGCATGAACCCTGCAACGTCCCGAATTATTATGAATTTTATGTTAGTCAAAAAGCAGTTTGTCAAAGAAAACACAAGGGCTCTTGAGAAAGGAAAGCAATTCTGAACGAAGAAGTTCGATTAGTGCAGAAAATCCGAACACCTTACTAGTTATAAAGCTTAACACATAATATGTAAAAAATGTTAGATGCAAAAAAAGTATTTAAAAACATTTTCTGAAACTTTTTTGCTTTTTGTTATATGGAATTACGTAATCAAAATGGAACTTGTTAACAAAAATATTTTAAAATAAATTTAAAGTGTTCTTTTAAAAAAATTACAACTTTTTAAGAATTTTATTTGAGAAAAAATGCAGATACTTTAACTATTTAATAGCTATTATGCAGGTTTTAAAGTGGCTTCCTTGGGGAGCGATGCAGAGCCATCAACGGGCCCTAAATTTTTGGAAATTTAGCGCAATGGGCCGCAGGTCTTTTGTCGATAATCGATCTCATTCGCGGAGCAATGATTTCTTCAGCGCCTCCAAACTTATGTGGCGTTAAGCACATGGCACACACTGCAGTCCATCGCATTGAGATCCGGCGCGTAAGCTGACCATTCAGTGGATGTGATAAAGTCCGAAAAATTTGCTATGCACCAGTCCTGGGTCAATTTTGACCTATGGGCTGGCGCTGATTCCGTTTGAAACGTCCACTGCGTATCACCAAAGTTCTGCTGGGCCCAAGGAAGCACAACAGTTTTCAAAATATCATGGCACACCTAATTGATTTGTACCCATTGTTCGATGAAAAAAAGGGGTATTTTGCCAATGGATTGGATGGATTGCTCAAATTGACGGCGCTCGATTATTGCAGAGGTACCTGGAGCTTCAGCTGACCAGCTTCTGTCATTTTGGCGATTTGGCCTGTTGGATGGTGAAAAAGAAGACACTCCCATTTTTGACCTGCGGCCCGACGCTTCAGCTGAGTCTCTCGCACTTATAGTCATCTGTAAGAAGCTGTACTTTTTGGAGCTTGTTGGACTTGAGTTAAGTTCATTTTTGGCAATCACCGAATTATTTCGCGACTTATTTCGATTTCACGGGCTATTTTTATAACCGAGACTGCAATTCCGGGTGATTCGCTTTTTCACGATCTGCCGAATTCTGGAAGTGTTGGCGGTGCATGGTCTTCCTCGTCCGTTGCGGTCACCTTTATGGCCAAGCTAATTAAATCGCCGGTTTTGGTATACCGAGCAAACGAACAATGTCGCACTGGCGATTTCCTTGATGAAGCATGTTTAAATTTGCACCACGCTTGTTAGCGTGTTATACACACACACGCATGTTGGCAAATTGACGGTAACGAGTGGGCGTATTGACGGCGGCGAGTTGGCGAATTGACGGAGCGAGTTGACAGCGCCATGGAAAAACAAAAGCTGATCAGCTGGGTGAATGCATAAAATTTAGGGTAGAATTAAGATAACTGTAAGCTCAATATTCTACTTTGACTTTGTTTTTGATTCTAAATTTAATAACTTCTCATAACTATCGATTAAGTTTTGTAAAATGGAGCGTACCGAGATTTTGCAGCTGCGTTTGGAAGAGTTAAAAGAAAAGTTGTGCGAGTTACAGTTGAATACCCAGGGTAATAAGGTTATATTACAGGATAGACTTTTGAATCATTATGGAAGATAAGAGGGAATAAAACTTTGGATCACCCTTAAAGATGTTAAGGGCAGTGTCTCAAGGTTTGACGGGTCAAGCCGAGTTGATATTGATCAGTGGATCAGTGAAATGGAAGAATGTTCCTTAACAGTCCAGTGGGATTATTTACAATTGTATGTGTACGGGCAGCAACTACTTGAAGGTGCAGCCAAGGCTTATATCCATAGTCAACGGGGAACTTCTAGTTGGAAAACACTGAAAGAGGCTTTGATAGAAGAATTCCAAGAGAAGTTATCGTCGGCAGAAATACACAAGCGTTTAAATAAATGTCAACAGATGAAGAGAGAAAGTTTACATGAATTCTTATACGCTCTTTTAGGAATAGCGAAGCCAATCCATTTGGAAGAGAAAAGCATTATTTAATACTTTGTCGAAGGGATACCGGACCCTAGATCCAATATGTTAGTGCTCTATCAGGTAAAAACTATTAAAGAGTTGAAGGAGAACTTGAGAACTAGAACTAGAACTAGAGTTGTAAGAGCTTCAGATAAAAATCAGGGTTCAGCATCAGGCACAAAAGAATCTGGAGGTGGAAAAGATTCCATGTCGAATAAACAAATAAGGAAATGCTTTCAGTGCGGAGATACCGGACATATGATAAATACATGCCCTCAGACCGATATTACTTGTTTTAAGTGCCACAGGACAGGTCATCGTGCACCTCAGTGTAAAAAGGAAAGTCAAGAAAATCAGATGGAAACCTCGAACATGGTACAGGACAGGAATCGGTTGATTAAGCCATGAAGTACTTTCACATGTATGGTTAGCTCGGAACGGATCGGAAAAGAAGTTGAACATGACCTATCGCACTTGAATAAAGCGTTGCAAAAAGAAATAAGTGAATTGATTGAAAACTATCGACCTGTTCGAAATCCAAATGCTCCGGTTCAAATGAAGTTAATCTGGTCAGACGATCTCCCAGTGTATCAACACCCCAGACGTATGGTAGGTGAACAGGTGAAAGAATGGTTAAATGAGGGGTTCTTATCGCCAATAGATAAAGGGCATCAGCCGTTGCCCATATATCACATTGATCACGTCGGGCCAATGGCAGTAACTAGCAGAGGCCATAACCATATCCTCCTTGTTGTTGACTCGTTTTCAAATTTATCTGGCTTTATCCGACTCGGAGCACAGGGGTGAATGAGGTCGTAAATTGTTTAGAAAGACAGGCAGCATTGTTTGAAAACCCTGCTAGGATTGTGCCAGATAGGGGTACCGCTTTCACTTCAAATGTGTTTAAAGAGTTCTGTGAAAGGGGGAATATAATATCTTTTGATAACTGCAGGTGTTCCGCGTAGTAATGGCTAAGTTCAGTGGATGCATAAGTTTGTGGTGCCTATGTTGTCAAAGTTGAGCCACGAAAGCAGGTGATGAATGGCACTGTACCACGAATTACTAAGGCGTCTCCGTTTCAAAAACTCACTAACTTAGAAAATTGAATGACTTATAATTTAATGAGATTCGTAAGGATTGCATTATAGAGGATTTGAATAAAGATCGAAACGAATTGCGCGCGAAAGCTCGTGAAAACATTATAAAGTTGCAAGAGGAGAATAAGAGGGAATTTGATTCAAAAAGTAAACCGGAGCGACAGTATATAGAAAATGATTTAATTGCTATAAAACGAACTAAGTATGGAAATGGGCTCAAGTTAAAGGAAAAGTTTTTGGGACCATACAAGATAGTTAAAGTAAAGAAGTAGATATGATTGGTAGATATGATGTTGAGAAGGTGAGTGATGGTGAAAGGCCTTGTAAAACACCAACCGCGTCAGACTAGATGAAGCCATGGAGTTTCTTCTCGACGAAGAATATATCAGGACAGCCGAATGTAAAGTTATCGAGTGGAAAAGAGAATAACTAAACTACTTGTAGTGGAAGATTTATCGGTTATCGGGACGCAAGCACAGGCCGAACTTCAACGTTTGGCAGTGAGAGAGAGCTAGGAGTCAGTCGTCATATTGAGAGAGGTGTGAACGGTCGTAGGCTGCAAGATCGCGATAAACGCATTTATGTTTATAAACGGAGCCCATTCATTTAACTTTTATAATTTATTATATATTTTAAACTAGTTAATTAATAAATAAGTAACTAATGTATGAAAATACCTACATATGTATATATGAGGACAGCAAGAGTCTCTTGCTCTGAGCATGAGAAGAGTCTCTTGATTTTTATTTGCAGTGGGTTTCGTGACTTGTTTCACGGGGGGTATCTTTTGGCAACTACTAGGTTAGCCCATGAAATGCTCAGATGGGCACTGTTAAGTATTAATTGATTTAGGCTAGCTGTTTTTTAATTGACATTGGAACTTGGTATTTAGGTTAAAGGTATTCAAATAAGTTTCAAAAATATTTAAATTCGATTTTGTGTTTTATAGTATGGTCATGTGCAAGAGGGTTGCTATGATTAGGAAGCTGTGCAAAAAGTAAGGTTATACGGGCTTTTGTCATTAAGAATTATGTTATTAGAATCAGTTATTGTTCTCTGAGGGCCCCAGAATTGGAGTCAGGCATTAAAATCCCCAAAAGTTAATGTTTGCTTACATTTGGGTGGTCTTAGCCTAGATTGAATATTACTAAGATTAAAGGTAGCTTAAGGTTAAAGATAAGAATTATAATACCACCTTATGAGTGTTAGGGGTTAGGTGAAAGCATTGTGTTGTAAAGTTTTTATGTGTGATCTATTTGTTTATGAGTATTTGTTCAAAACTGTAGAACTTGTATAATGCAAATTATATATTATATATATGAGCCCGTGTATAGTCCCACGCCGTTTTCATTAAGGGGGTGGATGAAGTTCGCTAGGGCCGATGGGTCCGCATTCTTTTAAACCGCTTGATTGAAATTCATGTACATACATGTACACACAATGTACATACTCTAAAATGTTTGTATTTTGTTTAAAGCACTAAGATGTCCAATATGTGCTGCATATCGCCATATGTTCTATAACTTCTGGCATCGTCAATATCATCATCGTTCATATGCATTTGTGATAAAATTGTCAACGTTTATATTTATTTCGTATTTTTGGTTTGCACTTGCTTCGATCAAATATTTAGTTTTTATTGTTTTTTAAATTTATGATCTGGTTAAACTTAAAAAAAAGATAACAAAAAAAGCTATAGTTAGTCGAGTGTATCGTCTATAGAGGCATTTTTTCTAACGCCACCTATTGACATAACCACAATGTTCTGCTATTACTACTACTACTACTACTATTACTACTACTATTACAATTACTCCTACTATTACAACTACTACTATTACTTCTATTATTCTACTTCTACTAGTACTAATATGAAATGAAAATTTAATCAATCAAGAAATATTCTATAAACATTTTTCTATGCGAAATATATTTTTATTGCGTTCAGAATTGGTTTTTTTAAATACATAAAACCTCGTAGCCAACCCAATATAATCCCCGATATAAAGTCCTATTTGATTTAATGACTCTATTTATTGTCGACTGTTAAACAGAAAAAAAATAATAACTGTAAAAAATGTTATAAATATTTTCTTTCTTATTCTTACCCACAGCGAAGGAGGTTTCTTTAAAGCACATCTTTACTTCCCCAAAGAATATCCATTGCGTCCACCACGAATGAAGTTTGTTACAGAAATTTGGCATCCAAATATCGAAAAAAATGGAGATGTTTGTATTTCAATTTTACATGAGCCTGGAGACGACAAATGGGGCTACGAAAAAGCATCGGAGCGCTGGTTACCCGTGCACACAGTGGAAACTATCTTGATATCTGTAATATCAATGTTGGCAGATCCTAACGATGAGTCTCCAGCTAATGTTGATGCTGCTAAGGAGTGGCGAGAATCCTATACCGATTTTAAACGCAAAGTTGCTCGTTGCGTCCGGAAAAGTCAAGAGGAATGCTCGTGAAGCTGGTCGCCTATATTTGTATATTTATATTAAACATTTTATACATTAAAAGGATTAAATGAATTATGTAGGCATATTTGAGAATTATTTTGGTTATTAAGTGGGATGTGTTGTTAGGGCCCCCAAAATTTTTACCAGAAAGCGTGGCTCCTATGGGTCTAAACTAATGGTAGCTTTAAGTTTCAGTTTTGAGTGTTATATATGTAGTAGTTAATATGAGATGATGATAGACGACAGCGACTCGGTCGACTACCATGCCATGACTGTCTCAATTTTTTAGAAAGCGGTCCCGGCTACCGTTCATTGAACGACGCTTGGCTAAGAGAAACTTAAAAATTCCTATCGACACAGGGCCAGCGAAAACGTATATTAAAGTTCGTCGATATGCTGAAAATAATATCTAAAGTCTTCTCCGACGTAACTCAAGTCTTGCCGTACAACACAAATGTTGTGGCAACTATTCGCCGTACAACAATTTAACTTAGGTGATCTATAAAAATGGATTAGATGAAACAGGTGGTTGGAATAATCGTTCACCTAATACCCCTGGCAAAGCTTGGCAAAGCCAAATACTTTACAACGTTAGACATAAAATCCGGCTATCACCAAATTTTTCTCGCGAAGGAATATCGCGGAAGTCAACGGAAGAAAGTATGAATTCTGCCGTTTGCCTTTGGGAGCGCAATCGATGATGTCTTGATAGGGCAGATAGGGAAATGACGATGTCATTATCTTTTCAGAAAACGAAAAAAAAAATTAAACCAAGCCAACGTGATCATCTTTGAAGAGAAAACCCATTTAATTTAAAGAATGTGTCCAATAACTTCGTAGTGACACAAAACGGGGCTACATCTGACCCTGTAAAGGTAGCAGCCATTCTTAGGACTTAGCAGCTATTATAGCTGCTTCATAAAGGATGAAACACATGATTTGGAAAGTACCAAAAAATTTTAATGATCAGCAAAGATATGCATTTAATAGACTTCGAAATATTTTGTCACTTTAAGAAACCGTTCGATCTGACAACCGATGCGTCAGCTTACGGCATCGGGGCTGTTCTGTCGCAAGAAAAAATCTCATAACGAAGATATTCAGAAACCTTAAAGATTGCATCTAACGAAAGCCTGATCTTTTATATTTTTCGGAAATAAACCCCGCCATATTATACATTTCACGGAAAAATCCACCCTTTTAAAAGCATTAAAAGTTGTCGACGCTATTCATTGTAACTTGTCAGCATTGGCCAGCATTCAACATGCATTATTGTCAAATTTTCCACCGACGAAATTTTGGCATTCCAAAAACTTTGTATCAGACATCTGCATATATAATATAAAAATTATTGTAACACTTTCAGGTTGTTGTGGGCTTATTATATTTTATTCATTTATTTCACCTAAACCTGTTAAGGTAAATGATAATATAAACAATGTTACAATTATTATTTATTACACAGATATGGCTGCGGAGTACGATTTTAGACTAACTTAATGGTCTGATCCGGCTGCAGCTAGAAGACTTTGTCTGGTCGCCGCGCTGTCGCCAAAGTGCCGGATCAGCATTGGGTATTCGGTTGCTGACGATCACTCGCTGCGCATGTGTTCTGGCCGGGCTCCGGGCGATTGCCCCCAGAGTGCGGAGTCGGAAGTTTCTGTGGTACGCGTGTTGGCCACTTCTGGCCGGGCTCTGGGTGATTGCCCCCCGATTGCGGAGTCGGCGGTTTCCGTACTACGCGTGTTGGCCACTTCTGGCCGGGCTGCGGATGATTGTCCCCGGAGTGCGGAGTCGGCGGTTTCCCTATTCCGCGTGTTGGCCACAGGACACGGCAACACGGAAGTTTCCCAATTTGGGAACTGGGTGTGTTAACTTCTCCTCCTTTTAAGTGATCGCCGTCCCGGTGACCCAATGGTTCCAAGTCATCGTTAATTCCTGTTTTGGCGTGGACTTTGGTCTTTAGATGGTGGTAGCTGGACCGGATAGACAGTTATCTTCTTTAAAACAAGCCTGGGATTAGGAAATTTAATAAGAAAATGAATGATATCGGAATTTTGAAAAACACTTATACTATATGCTTCTAAAATTCCTATCAAACTAATGTTAATAGGCTTCTTGTCTTTAAATTCGCCAATGTCAGAGCTATTTAGAATTGCCGGACTTACAATATTTAATTTTGCTAGGGTCAAGCCCATTAGAATGTTTTCCAGATCTGTGATGCCGAATCTATTTTTAGCAAAAATTATTTCTAAAAGATTATTTTCTTTATTTGTCCCAAATTTTTATACCCGTTACTCGTAGAGTAAAAGGGTATATTAGATTCGTTGAAAAGTATCTAACAGGTGAATGAAGCGTTTCCGACCCTCTAGAGTATATATATTCTTGATCAGTATCAATAGCGAAGACGATTGAGCCTAGTCCGTCTGTCCGTCCGTCAGTTCGTATGAACGCTGAGATCTCAGGAACTATACTAGATACAAAGTTGAGATTAATCATGAATATTCTTGAGGTCCCTACGCAGCACAAGTTTAGTACAGCATCCTGCTACGCCCACTGTAACGCCCACAAATTGCGAAAAACTAAAATTGCTGAAATCTCGAGCTATTAGAGCTAGAAAGTTCAAATTTAGTTTACATAATCTTTAGATGGCAGCGCATCTTATAGCGGCAACACCCACCCATATGCTCACAAGGCCACTATAAGAGATAGAAAGTTCGGATTAAGCATGTAGGTTTTTATGATGCATGCACAAAATGCAAATTGTTTTTTTTTCATCTAACCATTCCCACCCTAACGCCGGCAATACCCGGAAAATCAAAAATGCAAAAATCTCGGGGCCTATAAGAAATGCCTGCAACATGGAACGAGTTTTCAACCGGCCCCGCCCACTTCGTTTGCCTTCGTTTGACCTTATAAAACTTATTTCTGTTAATATCTATCGATTTACCAAAGGGTTTTTTAAATCAGAACATTATTTCGCTATTTATAAAGAAATTTAGGTTATAAGGCCTCACATGCGCAAGGACGTCACTACCAGTAACTCAACATGCATTCTCTCAAAATTTCCACTGGCAAAATGCATATTGTAAAATTATGTAAAACAGTATCGGGTAACTTACAGTCGCGGCACTTGACTATAGAGTTTTCTGTTGTTTAATTTGTTCTTTATTTGTCTCGAAAATTTTATAGCTTCATCGTCGCGTCCGTCTTTACAGCCATTAGTGCCCATATTATAATGTATTTTATATAATGTATTTAATATAGAAGAATATAAAAAATATGAAAAAGTATAAAAAAGGGTCGGGAGTCTAGCCAAGGATGGTTAGCGTAGATTGTCTTTGTGGACCACCCTCCCTCTAATTAAGACCGTTGTTTCCTGCGAACATAATGGTGAGAGCTTGTTACCTAGTCTTTAATTTGCTTTTAGAAAAACTTGTTCGTCTACCTGATAGTCCTTATATGTCCTATTCTTGTTTACCTGGTCAATCATCTTCTCCTGTACTGGTTGAATTTTCCTAATAATTTCTCTATCGAATTCCATGAGCTTTGTGTGAACTATTTCTGTGGTTTTTTTGTAAGTTACTGAGAGGATTGATTTGTTGGTTGCTAAATGGATTATTTCTATAGTATCGTTCAATTTGCATCCAAAGTTCAGGCATCTGGCTATTTCGGATAGAGTGCTATGAAACCTCTATACTTGACCACTTGTTGTGCTGAGGTAGAGGTAGAACGTTGGAAGTGTTGATAATGAAATGATTTAACAAAGTTGTTTTAATAGTCTCGGAATTTAGCGATCTTTTATTATCGCAGTAGCTTGTTGTTGTTTTCGGAAAGAAATTTATTATGTGTAATAAAGGGGTTTTTAAGTCTACTATGGCCCTTGAAGCGATGTTTTGCACTATGACGAATTTCGAGAATTTATCGACGCATGTAAGGAAAAGGGCTCCTTGGTTGAGAAAATATCAATGTGTAGAATTCTCCCACGAATGAGGGTATAAGAGTTTCTGCAACTATTTGCTTTGATGGGTGGTGGAACAGGTTTTTCAATTTGATGTTATTTCTGTTGCTAACCGAAACATTTTTGTGAATAAATAGTCCCTAAGAATTTGTTTTACATTTTCTTGTGCTGCTTGGTGAGCCCTTATGTGTTCTGTTATGACAATTTCTTTCTGTTCGGTTGAGTCCGTTTTGCCCTGTACGATGTTTTTCGTCTGCTTGAAAGAAGTGCCTCCGCGTTTACAACATCTCGTAATGTTTCAATCAGATTTTCCCGGTTGGGGTTCTGTTTATGTGCCTCACCTTGCTCTTAAACAATATGAATGTATCCACCGAGAAACTATTTCCGTCTTCGATTATTATTTGGTTTCGGAAGCAGTTTACTGGGTTGTCGGTTGTCTCGATGGTGTATGTCATGGACTCTTCGCTATGAATGGTGGCTACGTCCGATTCTTGTACGTCTTCTAAGGCTTTACTTTTTTGGGGAGATAATGAGTGTGCCACGAAATTTTCTTTGTCTGGTTTTTAAATTTTTTTTCTGAGACGGCAAAGGTAAGTGGTTGATGATCGGTAAAGTTTTTAAGTGACTAGGAGCTCTCGCTCATTGGTTGCGTAATTTTTCGTTGTCACGTAGGGCCATATTCCGAAGCCTATATTTTCTCTCTTTAGAATGGTTGTCAGAGGTCTTGCGATAGTCGCGAAGTTTTTTATGAAGCACCTTTAGTAGCTTGCTAGTCCTTGACGTGGCCTTCTTTTGTTTTTGAGAATATAATAACGTCGTCTATATAAACGTAGCATCTTTTAGAGATTCCCTCCTTAGGACGTCAACGATAGCCCTTTGGAAGATGCTTGGAGCGTTTTTAAGTCCAAATAGCATTCTACAAAATTCGTATTGGCCATTATTTACGGAAAAAAGCGTTTTTTCCCTGTCCTCTTCTGCCACCTCTATCTAGTGGAAGCCTGACTTGAGGTCGAGTGCAGTGAAATACCGTGACTTGCCCATATTCGACTGTATTTTCAAAATTGTTGGGATAGGATATCTATCATCTACTGTTATCTGATTTAATTTCCTGTAGTCGATAACTA